GAGCCCCAGAGGAAAGACTTTATTTCAAGCTTGTTTGGATTTAACGAAGTAGAACCTCAGTAGGGAAATTTTGTCTTCCACCCTTTTGGGGTATGGAGTTGTTAAGAAGCCCTGAAAGAAGGGAAACTTAGGCAGAGAGTGCCTGCAATGCCACACTAGGCCAGGATGCGGCATTACAGGGCAGGCACATGCTGAGACAACTGGCACGAGAAGGGGGATTTTGAGACCCCCTCCCATTAAGAAGGGATGACCAAGCAATGCAGTGCAGAGACCTTTCTCAGCTGGAAGATGTTAACCCTCAGAACATAAGAATGGCCATACTAAGTCAGACTAATGGCCCAGCTAGCCCAGTACCCTCTCTGATAGTGGCTTGTGTCAGATATTTCAGAGGGAATGAACAGAACAGGGCAATTTCAAGTGATCCATCTCCTGTTCACTCCCAGGTTCTGGCAGCTGGAGTTTAAGGACACCCGGAGCACGGGGCTACATCCCTAACCATCTAGGCTATCAGCCATCGATGGAGTTATCCTCCATGAATTTATCTAATTCTTTTTTAAACCCAGTTGTACTTTTGGCCTTCACAACATCTCCCAGCAATGAGTTTCACACACTGACTGTGTGTTTTATGAAGAAATACTTCCTTTTGTTTGGTTTAAATCTGCTGCCTATTAATTTTATTGGTGACCTCTGATTCTTGTGTTATGTGAAGGGGTAAATACACTTCGCTATTCACTTTTGCCACACCAGTCATGATTTTATAGACCTCTATCACATCCCCCCTTAGTCTCCTATTTTCTAAGCTGAACAGTCCCTGTGTTTTTAGTCTCTCCTCATATGGAGGCTCTTCCATAACCTAATCATTTGTTTCAGAGTAACAGCCGTGTTAGTCTGTATTCGCAAAAAGAAAAGGAGTACTTGTGGCACCTTAGAGACTAACCAATTTATTTGAGCATAAGCTTTCGTGAGCGATGAAGTGAGCTGTAGCTCACGAAAGCTTATGCTCAAGTAAATTGGTTAGTCTCTAAGGTGCCACAACAAGTACTCCTTTTCTTTTTTGCTAATCATTTGTGTTGCCCTTCTCTGCACTTTTTCCAATTCTAATGTATCTTTTTGAGATGAGGCAACCAGAACTGTATGCAGTATTCAAGTTGTAGATGTACAGTGGATTGAAAGTGGCCTTGTGATATTTTTCTATCTTATTATCTATCCCTTTCCTAATGGCTTCTCACATTCTCTTAGCTTTTTTGACTGCTGCTGCACACTGAAGATGTTTTCAGGGAAATATCCACAATGACTCAGATATGCCTTTCTTGAGTGGTAACAGCTAATTTAAACCCCATCATTTAGTCTGGATAGTTGAGATTATGTTTTCCTGTGTGCATTACTTTGCACTGATTAACACTGATTGTCACCTGCCATTTTGTCTCCCAGTCACACAGTTTTGTGAGATCTCTTTGTAACTTTGCGGCCAAGCTTTGTACTTAACTGTCTAGAGTAATCTCATATGGTCTGCAAATTTTGCCACTTCACTGTTCACCCCATTTTCCAGATCATTTATGAATATGCTGAAGAGCATATGGAGGGGCAGCCAGAGCTTTGGGAATGCCAGCTCCAATTTTTGGGAATGTCCAATATGCAGGAGAGGCCTGCTGAGGAGGCATCATGATGCGAAAAAGAGTCAGTTATTGTTGACACTGAAAGAGAAGGCACCACAGGGCTCAACCAATGGTACGTTTTGACTGAAGAAGTGGGGCACGCAGGATGGCTTTGCCCCTATATGAACCAAGATTGCACTGAGCACCAGAAGAACCAGGGAGAGAGGGGCTGTTAAAGACAATATGCCACAAACTACTGGGGCCTGGGTTATTGTGAAGTCTGAATGAAGGACTGTGGAGACAGAAAGAGCAATATCCCAGGGACAGGCTGTTTTGGGGAGAATGGGCCCTGCTAAAAGTTTTAGCTTTGGGTGGATGGACCCTAATTATGAAGAAGTTAGAGCCTACAAGAATAGGCAAATATGGAGTAGTCCAGGATTTTAAGAATTTTAATTAAATACAGGTTTAATGGCCATTTTCTCTCTCACCGCCTTCTTCTGAACCAACACAGCTGAAACCAAGAGTTTAACCTTAAGATTCTTTGCCACCAACTGAACTGACAGTGCCTTCGGACACCTCAGCAACCTTAATAGGAGGATCTGACGGAACAGAAACAAGAGCCCAACACATCCCCAGGATCCTTTAAGCACCTTAGCCTTACCAGACAAAGCAGTTGGAACCAAAACAAGCCTCTTAGTCTTCAGATCTGACACTCTCATAGAACCCAACAGCTTAGCAACACGAACTTTCTTAAGCAGGAGCACCTGAAGTCTATTCTGCCTCTCCTTACATGCTCTGGGTGTGAAAGTCTGACAGAATGACAGTGACCTTCTTTGAGGCAATTAAGACACCTAACATGTTCGAGCAATGCCAAGAATGTGTTGAAGTGCCTCTCTTAAAACCGGGCTTTTTTCTTTAGGTCCACCATCACACGGAACTGAACCTGAACCTGAAACCAAACTCAGCTAACTACAAACTCTGTAACTAAACTAACACTAAAAACTAACAACTACAACTCTCTAAAGTTGCTAATCTAAGAGAAAACCCGCTGATCTGATGGACCAGAACAGTTCACTTTCATCTGGCGCAATTATTTGGAAGGAACTGAAAAAGTAGAGGGTGCAGCATCCCCATATACAGATAGCCTCACCCTCAGATCATTTGGAGATCCTTAGGGGAGAGGTAGAGGGTGCTCATGTGCATTCTAGCATGCACTGCCTGGAGAAGGTTCTACCATTACGCTGCACCAATCAATGCATTACCTGGGAATATTTAAAGTAATCTTGAAGAAGTTATAATTTTATATATACTTCCATTTTTGAATGAGGATGGTGGTGAGTTTTTCTTTACCCTTGCTTTTGTCCTGATTGAAATGTGATCTCTATATAAGTGGGCACCTGATTCTATTTCTTATTATTTCATTCTACAGTTGAAATGGTTTAATTAAATTTACCTAGAACATTTTTAATTGTCAAGTATTTAAGCTTATTAGAGTACCATATTTCCTGCTGAGCCTATCCCCCCGCAACTGTTCACATCCTTGCACTTATTTTTCCAATCTCTTAGTTTAATTCTCAAGTAAACCAAGTGATTTATTAAAAAATAAATATTTCATGCATACATACATGACTACATACATATACTAAATACATACATAACTACATGCATACAATAATACTACGTTACTAACTACATACATACATGCAGTACATACATAACTAAATACTTTTTTTAAAAAAAGTTAGGAGGAAAAAGTCCTAGAAATTCCATCAAAAACCCATTATGCTAAAAGAACATTTTTAGTTGCGTGGCTAAGGACTCAGAAGCCAGGAAACATAAAAATTATGGTTCCATCAGGGAAGAAAGGAAACCCTGAAGCCCCTGATGCCTCCTAGTGAAGGAGCTCCCCAGAGTAGTCAGCACTACTCAGTGTGCACTGTCTGACCACAGGGGATGCAGCCACATATGGAGGAACCCTGGTGCTAAAGTAGCAGATACCTTATCATAATGTGACTCATGTATGTACTGTTTTCAGGCAAACACTAAAGTAGAATGAGAGTTGTTTTTAGAGCCATCTGGTGTCCATTTAATGCACACACCAATTTTTCCAAACAATATATCCACTTTTCTGAATTGAATGCAAGTACAGGATGTTAAGTATGAAGTTTATGAACTTAGTATATTATTTAGTTCATACTAGATTTTTATTGTACTAACCAAGGCAGCCATGCTTTAACGGTGTTCTATGTTGCTGCACAAATATCTAGAGTTACTGTACAAGGATTTTAGATTCATGGATAGGTATATACTGTATGTGTGGTGGTGACCCATATGAGAGAGCCATATGATGAAAGCTTTTATTAGCATATACCTTTGCCAGCCTCACTTCCACTCTGTCTAGTAATTCATCTCCTTAGGACCAATTATAAATATTGTACACAGCTTCAACTAATATTACAAATATTACAAATTTGTACACAGCTTCAACTAACTTTAAATCAGTCGATCACCAAAATATTTCCTTCTTTACAACTTAAAATAGGGAACTTTTGCTCCCCCCCAGTTTCACTGGTCTGAGGCTCAGGATGAGAGATCTTCAATCCCAGACCAGATACAAATTTAAGGGACAATGTTATGACCTTGAAGGGTTAGAAATGGGAGTTTGGAAATGGAAGGAGGAAATTCCTTGCTTTCTATAGCACAAAGAATTTGTTTAATACTTCCGTACATATTTAGATATGGAAATGCTATTTTAGGTAATGTGTTGAATTTGGTTTGGTTTTTTAATTTGTCCTCAAAAATCTGTAGTCAAAATAACAATAATTTATACATATTATGGTAGCACCCAGGAACCCCAATCATGGACCAGGACCCTGTTGTGCTAGGCACTGTACAAACACAGAACAAAGACTGTTCCTGTCCCAATCCTTATTTTCAAAGCTCCCTGAAACACTTCAAAAATATTACTTCTGGAAAATACATGCCATATACAGAACACATAATGTACTCCCAGGAGGACAAAGGGGCTTGCTCAACGATGTTATAAGAACACGGCAGTTTTAATTGTGCCTGATAGTTTGCTTATCCATGGAACAAACATGGAATGGGCTGAAGCAGAAGGTCCCCCCATGCTACTCTGCTAGTGTGTTTCAAGCTTTGTCAAGGGGGACTACTAATGATTAGCTAATTCCATCTTCTGTATCATATGCATGGGAACAAATTGGTGAGACTTCATGACACAACACAGCTCTCAGATTACTCTTACATTAACTCGCAAAAGCAAATATACTTTATGCTTATTTAACTTCAAATTATCTATTTAATGAAAATCGCACTTTCTACAAGGTATAACTTTGGTCTTCAATGTAATACAACTTTCTCATCCTTAAGAGAATAGACATTTACCTTTTTCTTTTTGTTCCTGTTCAGTTTCTTTACTTTTTCCTGGAAGATTAAAAATGAAATAGCATAAGCATTTTAGTGAAGAACAGTACAAAAACACACTACCAGTAAATCAATACCTATGGAAAAGAGACAGTTAACGTAAAAACTTTTTGTAGGACTTCATGGCAGCATATTTTCACTTAAGTCATTTTCATCAAAAATGCTTGGGTACTTTATAGTTCAATTATAGCTTATTATCTAACACAGGATGGGGATAATGCTGCATGAAATGTTTTAGAACTAATAGCAATCTTTTCCAAAGAAGATAAAAGTCCGTCCCCCGCCCCACACGTATGTGAATGATATCCACACACGCACAATATTATACATAATTCTTCTAAGTTCTTCAGCCACTAAATGTTTGATTAACTTTGTACCTATGGGTTCTGTTTACTTTTCTTAATTTTACCGATTCACTTATGCTTGACAATAGGAGTAAAATTTCAAATGTGTTTAAATCTCTAACTTTCAGTCAGATTTAGGATCCTTGGTGCCAAAGTCAGTTTTGAAAAATGGAACTTAGGCTTCTGAGTCATTTAGATGTTTGTGAATATTTTACCTGTGATATATATTAATTTACCTATTTAGTACTTCAGATAGCTTTATAATGACAAACAAAACATTTCCTGAGAAAACAGCCCAGCCTGAAAGTATGTATCAATGCAATCTACCTAATATCTCTATGTTTATAGTTTTCATAGAATTTCTCTCATTAACCTACACACTAATTAAAATACTAAAAGACAATTCTCCTCAGCAAGGGCTACAAAAACAAAACAAATGAGAAATTCCTAAGCCTAGACATTTTGGAGATCTGATGAAAAAGAAAAAGAAAAAAAAAGTAAACTACAGCTACATTTTCAACACACTAAATCTTTAAAATTGCCTGATTTTTACCAGACTTCCTAAAAATTCTATCCTGGAATGATCGGCAGCATGTAAAATCTTTACAGTTAACTATGGAGTGACTACTGCTACTTCAATATGCCTAGATTGCTAAATTCTCTGGATTTCCCTTAATATTGACTTGTGCCCTGTAATGTATTAACCAAGTTACAAAATAGTGAATTAAATAAACATGGTGGAGTGTCAGAATTATTTGCCTCCATAATTAAATATAAAAATCTTTAAACTACAAGTTATATTAATTAGAAATGGGAAAGGATTCATAGGTTGATATATTCAAAAGCTACAGGCCCGCTTGGATAAGGAATACATTTACTCTGATTTATGATTGTACATGAACAAATGTAGTTGTCACCTGTTTGCATAATTATGCTATTTGCATGTGTAATTGTAATAAAACTTTTTTTTCTAAGTCCATTTCAGTGTTTTCATGGAATGATATTTTAGAGAGACCTACAACCCTAGCTGACAGAGACAAACTGATACATCTGAGTTTTTTATTTCTATGATCGTGTGGAATTCACTGTCACTCAACTCCATCCACAGAGCATATGGCAGGACTGTGTAGTAAATCATGAAGTAGTGAACTATTTTAACTTCCCACTCCTCTCTATCCTTTCCCCCATCACCAACACACTCCACTCACCTCTGTAAGCTCTTCCCCTCTCCTGCCTTCCCTTACCATTCACAACTTATTTCTACAGGTTCTTTCCTCTCTCAGTAAAAAGTACGGTATATTGTCACCCAATTTTCCCTCTTCACTTCATCTCTAAGTTCACTAAATGTGCCATCTATAACTACTGCCTCAAGTTCCCCTTCTCTAGCTTCATCCTGAATTCTTTCTGATCTGGCTTCTGCCCTCTCAGCTGCTTTTGCTCTCAAAGACTCTAATTACCTTTTCTTGAGCAGTCCTTAGGGTGTCTCTTCCATCCTCATTCTTCCTGATCTTTTGAGCTACTTTTGACACTGATCGTACCCTCCTTTAATTTTGTATTCCCTTTGCTTTTGGTTCCCCATCTTACCTGGTTCTCTGCCTACTTCACTGAGCGTTCCCCTCTGCATCTTGGTCAGTGAGTACTGCTGCCCTCACTACTTATGTCTAGGTGATCTTATCTGCACTCATGGTTTTAACTAATATCTCCATGGTAAAGACTTACAAATCTGATCTTTCTCCCTCCTGAAGAAGAGATCTGTGGTGCTAGAAAGCGTCTTTTTCATCAACAGGAGTTGGTCCAATAAAATATCTCACACATCTTGTCTCTCATATCCTGGGTCCAAAACACCTACAACAACACTATAAACAACTGTCTTCCTCCAGTAGAGATTAGACATCTCCGTGCAAGTGTCTTGCCAGGGTCTTAAACTTAGCAGGACCCAGACCAAGCTCCTTTCAAGCCCACCAACCCTTTCCCCTGTTTTTCACCCTCATACAAAGCACCTCCATCCTCTGTCATTCTGTCTTATAACCTGAGTGTCATCATTCACTCTGACCAACGTGCAAAAGTGAATATTTCTGGAGCAATAGGAGGGTGTAGTTATTGAAAAATTACACTGCTGTGATTCTAATGCGAAACATCTGGGTAAACTTGCATTAAGCTGATTGTGATAACTAGAGCAGCTCTCAGCAGCCAGCAAGCAGCTGTGCAAATGTAAAGCAAAGTGCTCACCCATGAAAAAAAAAAAACAACCAAAAAACACGTGTTACCTCGAAGAAACACATTTACTTTTCATGTAGCATTAAAAACAGTATTTTCAAAATTGAAAATATATTTTACATATTAGAAAAATGATCCGTTTCATGCTTAGATAATATGCAGCATCTTGCAGATACACATTAAACATACAACCATATATAATTAATACATACTATACCCATACACACATCAACTCTAATTAATACACAATTTATATGTTTGTGGTTACTTAGTTTTATTTTATATTTATACTCTTTTACAAATATCTAAATTACAATCGGTTTTATATCAAATTTTACAAAACATATGTTGCTGTAAATATATGATTTATATCTGCAGTATATCCCAGAATTTCCTATTTACAAGAGTTATATCATAACCACTAGCTCATCTCTGATTAGTGGGAATCATAGAATCACAGGACTGGAAGGGACCTCGAGAGGTCATCTAGTCCAGTCCCCTGCACTCATGGCAGGACTAAATATTATCTACACCATACCTGACAGGTGTTTGTCCAACCTGCTCTTAAAAATCACCAAATGATGGAGATTCTACAACTTCCCTCGGGAATTTATTCCAGTGCTTAACCACCCTGACAATTAGGAAGTTTTTCCTAATGTCCAACCTAAACAGCTCTTGCTGCAATTTAATTCCATTTCTTCTTGTCCTATCCTCAGAGGTTAAGAACAACAATTTTTCTCCCTCCTCCTTGCAACAACCTTTTATGTACTTGAAACCTGTTATGTCCCCTCTCGGTCTTCTCTTTTCCAGACTAAACAAATCCAATTTTTTCAAATCTCCCCTCACCCGTAATTTTTTCTAGACCTTTAATAATTTTTGTTGCTCTTTTCTGGACTTTCTCCAGTTTGTCCACATCTTTCCTGAAATGTGGTGCCCAGAACTGGACGCAATATTCTAGCTGAAGCCTTATCAGCATGGAGTAGAGCAGAAGAATTACTTCTCATGTCTTGCTTACAACACTCCTACTAATACATCTCAGAATGATGTTTGCTTTTTTTGCAACAGTGTTACACTGTTGACTCATATTTAGCTTGTGATCCACTATGAGCCCCAGATCCCTTGCTACAGTACTCCTTCCTAGGCAGTCATTTCCCATTTTGTATGTGTGCAACTGATTGTTCCTTCCTAAGTGGAGTACTTTGCATTTGTCCTTATTGAATTTCATCCTATTTACTTCAGACCATTTCTCCAGTTTGTCCAGATAATTTTGAATTTTAATCTTCCAAAGCACTTGCAACCTTTCACAGCTTGGCATACTTTTTAAGTATGCTCTCTATGCCATTATCTAAATCATCAATGAAGATATTGAACAGAACCGGAGCCAGAACTGATTCCTGCAGGACCCCACTCAATATGCTCTTCCAGCTTGACTGTGAAGCACTGCTAATTACTGACTCTCTGGAAACAGTTTTCCAACCAGTTATGTACCCACCTTATAGTAGTTCCATCTACATTGTATTTCCCTAATGTGCAGAGGCAACTGAAGTGCTAATGTATTTTCAACTTTAATATATTTTAGTTGTTAAACAGTGACCCATTTCATGATATTTATGTATTATTTTCCCGAACTGGTGTGTTTTCCAACACCACTGAAAAAGACAGCAGAGCGTAAGAATCCGTGGTCTCTTGAGGGCACAGCAGGGCAGGCATGGAAAAGTACAGGGAAGGGTGGGGATGTGCCTTGCTTGGAACCCTTTGCCCAGCTACGTTCCAGTCTACATTAGGACACAGGATTGTCAGAGAATCAAGGTGTACCAGACCTTTTAATGTCTGCTTTAAATGGTGTAGGCACAGCATCCACTTTACACTTCTAATTCAAAATATGGACCATGGGCACAATTTTCCTCCAGAAAATTTACACTGAATGTGTGACCTTTTTGCCAGACACTGGTGTATTTCAGTGAGTAAAATGTCATTCCTTCCAAGTCACAAAGAAAAAAAAAATATATACCCCGGACCAAATTTTGGCCAACCACATAATTGGCTTTAGAACTGGACTGACAAGCTTCAAAAGCGGAGTAAACATGCAGCAACATTCTCGTAGATAATGTCCTCAACCCATTGCCATTGCCTCATCTCCCCTCCCCCACAACCAAAATAAAGATTATGTCCTGCTCAAATTTTGTCCTCCTTGTATATTAAATGTTGACAAAGAACTATATGAGGACAGATTGGTGAAATTAGTAGATGAGATAAGTAGGTACTGAAACACCTTTATTAACACAGATACCAGATTTCTGCACTTAAGAGTACAAAATAAAGACACCACCAAAGCAAAGATATTCTTCTGTGTTTTATTGCAGATAACATTAAAACAGAAGAAACACACTTTTTTCTTTTCTTTTTCTTTTTTTTAAAAAGATCCCCTTGACCATTCCC